CCGTACTAAACAAAATTTGGCCAACTCACAAACGCATCCAGATAGGTCTAGTCTCCCCATGGCAAAGACAACAGCTACTGCTTCATGGCAAAGGCGTCATATGTTTTGATACGACACACAACGTCTGCAACAACATCCCTGAGTGGCCAACCGTCAAACTTACTTTACTCACCGCCATCATTCGCAATCCTGTTACCGGCAGCGGTGTCCCCGTCGCTTGGTTCCTGACCTCGGACGAACGATCGTAAGTCCCTTTTCCATCACTCGTAATTCACTAACCACTAACATATCATTCCACAGAGAAAGTATTACTCGATTCCTCACCTGGTTGAAGACCGATCTCGGCGTATTACCCACGGCCTTTATGACGGACTGTGCTGTTTGATTCCAGAGCGCAGTCAAAACCACCTACGCTGACACTCGTAAACCACCCAAACACTACTGGTGCACATACCACGTCTCCCGTGCCATCCGGGCACGAGCCCGTCTTAGCGTAAGTCAGCGTAACTCCAATTGTTTTACCACTGCTAACACTCAAACCACAGGCCCCGGAGCAGACTGCTGTTCAGCTTCATCAGGAAGCGATGTCCGTCATCTACGCCGAATACTGGAAGGATGCGTGGCAAGATTTTAAGCGTCGCAATCAACGCCAATACCCTGCTTTTGTTCAGTATTTTGAAACACAATGGGTCCGTAACGCCGCATATTGCATGCTATCTGAACGTGATGTCCCTATACAAGGCATCCATACCAATAATTACAACGAATCATATCACCGCATCCTCAAGCACAACTTCTTAGACCGCCTCAAACTCTGCCGACCAGACGAGCTGCTACACATCCTCACAGAGGACGTAGAGCCAGATTACCGCCAAATTCTACTCACTACGACGTTAGGCTTCCGCGCACAAAGGTGCAATAAATTTCAGAACATCGCCAAGGGTCTCGCCGACTCCTACACGGACGAAGATCTAGACAATTTGCTCTGCATGATATCACCCGAGGCTAAAAACCAAGTGAATACCGTTTCTCAACTAACTCTTAACCCACGCTGACTCTCGTTTCCTGATAGTACTCCATTGGTTCTTTCACCCGCCCTCGCATCCGCTATTTGATCAACATTACCCCGCGCTGCGACGGCCGCGTTGGGTCTGTCAACAATTGCACGTGTCCTCATTTCGTTGGGACTAATTCTGCGTGCAAGCACATGTACGTCCTTGCACAACAAGAAGGTCTCAGTATCAGGGAGGAAGCGATAGCCACCGTCGACGACGGCGTCTCCCCAATGCCACCGGAAAGAGCACTAGAGCCGGCCGACGAAGAGCTCGCACCTCCCGTCTCACCTCGTCTCACATTCTCCACTTCGTCAACCTCAACCGGCTCTCTTTCAGTCACCCACGTTTCTGATTCTCAACCAAGTCCCAGTCCCCACGACCCATCTCGCCAGCTTCCACAATTCGCGCAAAATGAATCATCACGATTACCTTCTAACCGACTGCCTGTTGGGCCACCACCACTACAACAATTTCGCCAACCAACCCCGGGTCCATCTCACGTCCCCAGCCCTCCTCAGATAAGACTACAGTTACCCAACTTCCGTGATCCCCGTCAACTTACATACGATCCCTACTATGTTCACTCTACGCCTCCCAACCCCTACGTTCATACTACCTGTGCCGCCCCATTCCCAGACGTCTTACCAATTACAAATCTTGGCCCTCGCTTGCAATCTACTCCATATTACGATTTTTACTCTTCTCCTCCTTCGCTTTCGCAACACTCTCAAGTCCCCCCGGCTAATTTCTCTTCAATTTCTAGCCACGTACATGGCCACCGCTCCAACAACCTCCGCCGCAATCGCCATCGTATAGTTACAATTACTACCTGTCCAAAGGTCCGCCACATAACACAAGTCGTCCCATCAACGATGTTCACAACCCTGTAGCTTCTGGACTCCATCAACACCCCAACTCAAACCCTCTCGCGATCTCACCGCCGCAGGCCATCGCTCCCACCACACAACTGCTTAATCCGACAACGCATCTAAGCCCAAACATTCATCATGATCAAAATCCGCACTCAAAAGACATTGAACATAGAGATGTCATTATGCAATCACCACCTCGTTCAGAACGCGCGACACCGGCCCACCCGCGAGCACTACCTCTCGCCCCATCACCCGATTTTTGCACCCTTTCGCAACTCTCCAACCTACTGCGTGATCACGCACACAACAATGTCAATGAGTCTAACCGTGCTACATCGAATCCATACGCCACACCCGCCCCACCTTCAGCTACAAATCACAACGCCAACGGCATACATATCGGGTACGGCAACTATCAAACTTCTACGCACATTTCCGGTATCGTTCAACCTCACAAGTCGCCCCAAATGTATAACTCAACGGAAGCTCATGCGTCGCAGTTTCAACGGACCTCCACGAACTTTGTGAACGGCGACGTCCCACTCGAAGCACCCACGTGAGTCTCCAAGGCCGTATATGTAGACCTACACGAAACTAACCCAAACTCTACCACTGTGCCGTTGATAGGCCATTCAACGCCGAAGTCGCAATGTCTCCGTATCCTTCCTGGCACGGGATACCAAGCAGTTCACACTCTGCCTTCGATACGGACAACGCTCCCGAACGGCCACAATCGGGACCATCCTCTGGGCCGTCTACCGTAGCATTACCTTTGCATGACGAACGCTATCCTGAATTGGCGAACTTCGACAAAGACTTGTCTTTACGAAGTCTGTTTCGCTCCGCTCATGGAATAGTGTCCTTTGACACGCCCGAAAAGAAGGCCCGGTTGCGCGGCCTGCACACCGCCGTTGAGTTACACGCCGTTGAACAGAGCATCACTGCCTCTTACCGCATGCTACGTGATCTATTTAACAAGGGCAAACAGAAGAAGCAGAACCGATTCTAACCTAAAATGTAACTCTCTATTATCTTGACTCATTTCTTAACTACCGCATGCTCAACATTTGTAAGGTCCATGAAACTCCATTTACACATCCACACCAAGCCAACTAACGCACGTTTTCGCATGCTGAGCGCCGTTATTCTGTAGACAACCGACACCACCTAAGTCTTCATATTACATCAACAAGCAAAGTTTTTTTCATCCTCCCTCTTTTCTCTGTTCCTGCGACGTGATAAGTTTGTATATCTCTTTCACATTGATGTATCAGTCCGTTACTCCCCGACATGTCACTGTGTAAATGAATAAGACATGCTAATTCCCCTTTTCAGGCGAGCGATACTTTCCGACATCCGTTAATACACGGATGTTCGGGAAGTCGCCTCCTCGGCTCGGGTATATACCCGAGCTCGGGAGTCGGGTCTGTATGTGAGCACATTTTGATAGACGGATACACCAATTTGTAAATGCAAATGCATTTGCAAATGCATTTGCAAATCGGTGTATCCGTCTATCAAATACGAAACATGCGGGCAGAATATCTGCGTGTCATCTTCACTATCTTCTAGAATAAAACAACAGGTAACAAACACAATCTCATTATTTCAATTAGTCAATTTTTCTTTTAGATTATATTACATAAAATCTTAGATCCACAAACATGTCAGCTCAAGAATTTGCAAACAACTGTAACGACACAGACCTACCACCAAAAGGGACAGCACCGACTACCGTCATGTCAGAACAAAATGAAAAGGAACAATCTTTGAGTAAAACACGTGGAGGAAGAAAAGCAAAAGGAAAGAAAACGGAAATTAATATAGAAGTTAGACAAGAAGATAGTGGAGGTAGGAAAGAAGATGGAGATAGAAGAAATGATGAAGGAGGAGAAGAAACAAACGAATTAGAAGAGAAAGAAGATGGCGGAAATAGAATGGAAGGAGTAGAAATGGAAGATGACAGACTTAGAGATGGAAATTTACGAGAAGATAGACAAGGTCTTGGTCAATTCGAACATTTGATAAATGATAATCAACGAGGATTAGTAACAGGTTTAGGTTAGTACTGATGACAATGTTTGAACATACCTTTCTTTTTGTTATCCCCTTCTTTCTCTCTCTATTATTCCATTCTTTCTATTATGTCATTCTTCCTATTTCTGTTATCCCAGTTTTCCTTTTCCCCCCCCAGTTCCAGTTTTCCTTTTCCCCCTCCTCGTTTCGGTGATCACAGTCTTTTCTGAAATAATCCAACATATCCAAAAAAAAAAAAAAAAAAAAGTGATCGAGGTCATGAGTCTTAGTTATAAAGCAGAAAGACTGATCATACCTAGAAGTAGTTTAAGACGTGATAAAGGAAACCTAACAGAGGTTGACCTGAAAAGATAAAACGCAGGAAACCAATAAATTCTTCAATCAATTGAAGAGATGGTTGACCTATATTTGAAAAAGAAGGAAATCGAAATGATTAACCTGTATGATGTAAAAGAAGGAAATCGAAAAGATTAACCTAAAATATGAACGAAGGAAATCATTATGATTAACCTGTACCAAGAAGGAAATCTTACAGATTAACCTGAAGAACAAATAGACCGTGAAGTGAAACGTGATACTAATACAAAAAAAAAAAAAAAAAAATGTGTTCTATTTTCTGTGATTAGGAAGAGTGAATGAGGATATGGAAGAATCAGCCTATATTGAAATCAATCATAAGAAATGGATTCACAACATACAAACATCAGTTACGAACAGCAACTTAGCTCAATATGAAATCCTGTGCAAAGGTTATGAGAAATGGTGTGACAAGAACCAAACTAGACAGAAAAGTGTTGACTTACAAGATCTTGATCTCGACATAGTGATAAATAATGAGAAGAATGAAGTATCAGCATCATCAAAAGACGTTACTAAAACAAAAAATGATTCTAATACAAAGATGAAGATAGGCGACCAAGTCACTCACCTTTTAACGAATCTATCAAAATACTGGCAAGATTTAATGATTAATAAGACAGCACATGTACCAGTTTCCATCTTCTGCCCAAAATGGATCCTACAAGACGCCAACTTTATGAGGACTAGAAAAGCAAAAGTCGCAAGTTGTACATCCAATGTGATTCCATATGTCGGCTCACCGTACCTAAATGAATTCAGACTAAGTTTTGCTGAATGGTCAATTCGATATAACCTCATGGTGAAATACCAAGAAGAAAAGTTCGACAAACTAGATAGTCAAAAAGACTCACCAATTGCTCCTCGGTTACGAGCCCATCGGGAAAACGTATTACAAATTCAAATAGACTGTTATGGAAAATGGCCACCGGCGATGAGATACGATATTGCACATAGGAGGAATGTCTGGGAGAACCGTTTAGAAAATGGTTTGATGGCAGATGTCGGAACGTTGGATAAGAGATTAGCAGATCAAGCTGAGAAAGACTCAAAACAGTTTAATGATTTCGCTTACGACGACAACCCTTTTGTTTTTGGAGGACCAATGCAACATGTGAATCCAATGGACGGGAAAGTCTACCCAGCACATAGTTCCTGGGATACGGTTGGAGCATTAGCCGATATGCAAGTCGAGATGCTGACAGGAAGGAATTTGAAAGTCTGGAATACTAACCAACCAGCAAATCCGAGTACATCGTCCTTAGAAAGAGGAAGCACTGGAGTTATAAGATCAGAAAGAGGTTATAAAGGAAACAAGTTTGATCCAGATTATCACAAGAAACAACAAAAACAACATCAAAACTATCATACTAGTCAAAATTATTATCAGAACAACAATCAACCCTATGGGTATAATAATAGAAACAACGCACCGAATCAAAATCATAGTAATTTCTTCCAAAATCATGGAACTTACACATCCAACCGAGGAAATGGGAGAGGAGGAAATCATCAAAACTCAACTGGTCGTGGAAACCAGTACCATCAAAGTGGGGAACGACCATCCATCGGTCCCGGAAGTTTCAATAGATTAATGAGTGAAAACAACGTGACTAAAGGTGCTGAGAATGGAAACGTACCGACAGCTTCTAGTTCAAAGTGAGTAAAAAAAAAAAAAAATCTTGAGAGACTAGTATACACACATTGTTGTAATTGTTGCTTTCATATCTAAGAATTTGTGTTTCACTTTGAGCGCGTCGTAATTTTGTTTCTTTTTCAATTATGGGTTGCAGGAATTGTGAAAGAATATAAACTGATGTAAGGTGCTGTTGTTCTGGTGTTGCGAATTTCTGTTCTACTGTTTTGCTATGAAATCTACTTGGTTTGATTTAGAAACTTTGCCTGTGAGGAAGAGACACGTAGTGTGTCAATTGACATGAGACCACGAGATCAAACTAGAAACGTGACAGTTACCAACAACCCTGACGACCTGATAACTAAAGAACATCAGAAAGAATGTCATCAAAAGAATCATATTGATTATCATCTGAATGACCCACAAAACATACGAGACTGGCCGACCAAAGTAAAGAGCGAGATGAACCTAAAAGAATGGAAGAATCTGTTAGATGGTTGCGGATTGTCGGAGAAATGGGGAAAAGCATGGATAGGACTTACAGAAGGTTTTCATCAAGGAATCCCACAACACCTTCTAGGAGACCTTAAATGGTATACCCCCGATAATCACAAGTCTGCACTCTTAGTCCAAGATAAAATTATGAATAATCTGATGAAAGAAAGGAAACTTGGACGGATTTTCGGACCATTTACCCACGACTTTGTATACCAACAATGGGGATTCTTCCGGTCAAACCCCATGGGGAGTGTGACAAATAACGATGGATCTTTAAGAATGATAAATGACTTATCTTACCCTAATAGTAACCATAAGAGACATAGACATCAGCATAAACAGAAACAGGAAATAGGAAAGATAGTCATGGAAGGTGAAGAAAATGAGAATGAAGAAGAGGAGATATGGCGATCAGATGGGGCAAAAGAAATTATAGAAAACTTACTGTACAACAAAGAAGGTGAGGAACTCCCATCGGTAAATTCATTCGTAGATAAAGATGACTTTACGACGACCTGGGATGACTTTAACGTAGTCGCAGGCTATTTCAAAAGGAATATGAGTATTAGGTTATTGTTAGCAATCTTCGATTGGCAAAAGGCTTACAGACAGGGTCCGACTCACCCATCGCAATGGAAATTTCTCACCATAAAAGATTTCCAAGGAAACATATGGATTGACACTAGGATACCATTTGGAGGAGTAGCGGGTTGTGGTACTTTCGGATGGTTAGCTGACGCGTGGAAAGATATAATCATGAAATTGTTAAAAATAGAACAAGTTTTTTGGTGGGTAGATGATAATATGTTCATCAAGAAAGAGGGTGATGTGTTGAATATGGAAGATGTAGTCCAAATTAGCGTACGAATGGGAGTTCAGTCGAATGCGGAGAAGTTTGTTGACTGGGCAATAGAACAAAAGTACCTTGGATTCGTTTGGAATGGAATAGATAAGTCAGTACGGTTACCAGAAGAAAAGAAGATTGAAAGATTAGAAAAATTAGAGGAACTACTCACACCAGAAAAGAAGTTTAGTAAGAAAGACATTGAAAAAATCGTAGGACAGCTGAGTCACATGACATACATCTTACCATTCATGAAATGTTACCTTTGGGATTTATATTACTTTGAGAAATCATGGTTTAATCCAAGAGCAATGAGGCAATTAACCCATGGTGCCACAGAAGAATTAAAGGAATGGCAATCTGAACTTTTGAAATTCGATAGACTACAGTTGAAACCAGATATAGAACCCACTGAAATCGGATGGGTGGGAGACGCGAGTACAGGGTTCGGCGTCGGTATACTGATAGGCGATAGGTGGTCCAGGATGAAGTTAAAAGAAGGTTGGAAGTCCAGGGAGATATCACAAGGGAATCAAACACGTGACATAGCGTGGATCGAAACCGTCGCTGTTCGACTCGGCCTATTAATGCTAGAACAATTAAAACCAACTTCGAACCAAAATTTCATTGTCTATACGGATAACACCACTACACAAGCAGTAATAAAGAATCATAAGTCAAAGAATCAGCTAGTAAACAACAAGTGGAAGAGAATTCAGAAAGAACTTACTCGACTGAAGTGTTCGATCACCGCGCGAAGGGTATCTTCAGGTGAAAACGAGGCCGATAGTTTGTCGAGAGGTGTGAAGAAAGTAGGAGAAGAGGCGTTGGAAGTCAAGATAGAAATCCCGGTTGATCTGACACTGCTGCTAGAAAGAAACTGAGGTAGAGAGATGGTGATAGATCAGAAAAAGATCCAATATTTCTTGAAAGATGTGAAAGGGTAAGCAAAAAAAAAAAAAAAGTGAAATATAACAGAACAAATACCTAGAGGGGTTGGAGGTTAGGAATAAGGTTCTGACTTACTGACAATAATTGCTTCTCTGGTTTACGCAAACTAGGGAGTTCGAATGGAAGATTAACCCGGTGAAAGTACACCTGTTGAGCGGAAGTTGGTCGCAAGCCACGCTAGGAAAATATAGCACGGCGATGAGGAAATTAGAGAAGTTCGGTGAGGTTCAAGGGATGAAGCGAGGAGACCTTTTACTGTTGAGCCAGGAGAGGCTGTGGGAATTCGTAGTTTGGGCAGGTAGACAATGCGATCTAAATTTAGAAGACAAGAATGTTTTAGAGAACATGAATACCAGTCACAAGATAACAGCGAAAACTCTTACCAAGTACATCACAGGCATCCAATCTTGGAACCTCTTTCATAATCTACCCTTCCCAAATGAAAACGACAAAATTGTTAAACTCTTACTGAAAGCTTCAAGCCATGCAGATGCAAAAGAGAAAGAGAAATCAACGTCAGCCCTGAAGTCACCGGTAACTTTAAGGCACTTAGCTGAATTGGCAAAAGACTTATCGAGCGGTGATCAGAAAGAAAGGATAGCACTAACGGTGGCATTAATCGCTTTCTGGGGGATGGCGAGGTTGGGAGAATTAGTTTCAGACACTAAAGGGAAAAGATTAGTTTTGTACAAAGATGTGCTTTTTAATAGCGGAAGAACTTACATGAAGATAGCCTTATACAACGCAAAAACCGCCAAACCCGGGGAGATACAGTGGTTGAAGATCGACCAGATTCCTTCATTACTATGTCCTTGTAAGGCGATGATACGACTAATAGATGAATACACCGTACCTTTGATACACCTACCGTTGTTCTCTTACTATGAAAAAGGGAGATTGAACACACTATCGAAATCATCAGCAATGAACATATACAGGAAGGTGTGGAAGAAGTATGACCAAGATTCAAACCTGTCGGGTCATTCCTTCCGGATAGGAGGGGCTACGTTCCAATGGAACGACAAGCAACCATTGGGTGAGATCGTAAAGGTCGGTAGGTGGGAGTCGAAAGCCTATCAACTTTATCTAAGAAAATACACGACAGAAGATATAGATGATGCAAAGATCGTTTGGGAAGCGATGAAATTGAAAAGACAAGACGGAGAGAAGAGTGAAAGAGAAAAAGATCATGTCGAGTAGACTAAAAAGCTTACCGTTTTGTATTATGAGTATTGGAAAAAAAAAAAAAAAAAAACCTTTTTTTGTTAGTTTTGGCGATAGGAAACAAAGGGGAAAGAGATAGAACATGTATAATGCAGTGAGTAGCGTACCTTTACCTATGCGGGTTGGGAGACAAGTAAAACATAAGTGAGAAGGATAAGTGAGAAGGATATTATCCAATTGAATGGAAGATCGACATAGTCAGACAGGTTCGTGGGAGAAGAAGTCGTAACACAGAAGGGGAGAAACGCACTTGGGACATACCGAGGCAGGCTCTCCGCAGGCTCCGGACAATACGTCCCAAGAAGAGGTAGCAGAGAGCCTACCCGGTCTGGAGACCTGCGGCCTAACGGCCCCCCCCAAACACACCATGTAGCTTAGTAGCTTAGTATTTTCTGATACTAGGTTATGTGGTAAAAGGTTGAAAGACTAGAGTAGTCACTTAGCGTGATTTGTTAAGATGAAATTAAGAAAACTGGAGAAAACGTGAAAGACAAAATATGAAATTAATATAGTTAAAAATCAAAATAAAAACCTCACACGTGAAGAGAGTTTCTATGGATTTCCTGACATTTGCGTATTAACGGATGACAGATGATTTAGCTCGTCTGAAATTAACTCTAGAGACAGTTTTGATTCGGATATGAATGAAGATTGAAAAACAAGAGCACGCCCATGCCGACATCTAGCCGCATGTTTCATACATGTAGCGATGAATAGATCGATTTGCATTCAGGAATTGGGGTAGCCATCAATCAGTCTGCTTGCCGCAACGTTGGAAAGGCTTAGGAGTTGGTCTACTCTGCCACTGGTAGACCTATCAGCTTATCTGAGTCTCAACAAACAAACCTAAAGTACGAGTTAGGCTCCAATTTGTGTGTCATCGTGTTGTAAAGTGACAAAAACATTTCATGCTTCCGGGATATGCAAAAACCAAACACGTTGGTGTGGCCACGGCGCAATGGACGTCTTTAATGTTCCTTTGGATACAAACTGATAACGGGAAGGAGTCAACTCAAGCAGTAAACAAAAGGTTATTTGCGTGAATAAGCGGTTGGCACATTGCAATTCAAATATGAGGTAAATCTCTTTGCGGAATTGACCCCATTGTCATAGGATTAGTCAGTAGCGCTTCATATTCACCGAGCGTTCATTTGTAAACTTGAACGCTTGCGACGGGTTGTTGCAAATGAGCGTTGATCAGATCCAACGGTGTCAGCTATACACAGTAAATCGTAATATTTGTCAAGTGCCCTACTTGGCTGGTTACGCTCTGCACCACACCTCGGGTTTTGGATTTTTACATGGACAACGATGTGAAGACGGCCACCCTGAGCTGCAGTGATTGCTGAGTTCTAAAAGTCCTGCACGACGTTCGTCCCCCTACACGGCGCTCCGGTGCGAATAACAATTACACAGTCAGTTCTGCGAGGAACGCTGTTGTGGGTTGTAATCTCTGGCACATCCACACCGAGATTGGCGTGGGATGTTTCAAAACATGCGGCTAGAATAATGTCAGCGGATTGGGGGATGATGGGAGCTTCTAAAACTGCATGTTGACCTTGATTGGGGATCCTCATCTCTCCTCGTGTAATCCTGACCGTCATCTCGTTTTCTTTCAAGTCGATATCTGATCGCAGAGACGCTAAAATGGCTCATAAATTCCCTCACCCTGAAGACAAAAAGAGGCCCAAATTGGACGCGAAAGTGTTTCCCTCAACTCGAAATTTGAACTTAAAAAGCTATGCCCACAATTAATCATTTACCTACCTTCACCTTTGTGTGCGCCATTGCACTCCTTCTAGTCAATTCTGCCATTGCTACTCACTTTGTACACTCTCGCCCCTATGGAATTTCTCACGTTTGTAATGGCTCTATCGCTTGTTCACTCATCAATCCCAACTGGCCGACCAAAAAGAAATTCACTTGTGGAAATGTTTGTCATCGTTTATATCTATTAGTCAGACATCTAGTTAACTTTTTCTTAACATTTAGAAAACTGTCACATCGACCTCCTTTGCTTCTGCCTATCCTTACATGATGTTGGGGCAAGGAGTCTCGATGGTAAATTCAAGTGGCTCCTGGCCGTCTTCAGTCACGCCCGAGTGTAAAAATACTAAACCTACCGACCGATATCAATATCACAATGGTAATTACAAAAATTCACTGTCTCAGTTTGATTGAATTTGGGCTGAAGAGATTTTTTTCTTGTGACAAAAAACAGGAGTTTGGACTGCTTACTACTCGATCGTCGCCACGTGCGGCTGTACTGGGACTGGACAACGTGCACTTCCCAATTGTACTGCTGCTACCTCCCAATCGACTAGAGCTTGCAATGTCGCAATGTTGAGCTCAATTCACCTAAGGACATATCTACTTACACTGAAGATTTACACTGACATTTACCGCAATGACAGGTTCACATTCTGTGCAATGACAATGAAGGATGTCGTCTGCACCCACCAATAAGGTGGTCTGAAAGAAGAGTTCTAAAGCCTGTATACATGATAGCCATACCTTATGTTCATGTTCCATCTTTCCTGTGAAGCATGTATCCCCCGAACCTACTCCACTGCAGTCTGCTGAATCTTACATCAAAAGGACAGCTCGAGTACAATAACTCACTTGTCAATGATGCATATCTTGATTTCTTCTGATCTTTTGTCTTAGTTTCAAACTGGTACACAAAGTCCCAAAGTGTTGTTGATTTACATGCAAGAACCATTATACTAAAGTTTGATCATCTAGTAAAAGAGCCTGAAGGCTTCTTTGATCTGACCAAAAGATCGAGTTTTCTGCGACATACAACTAATTAAGAGCTGAGATTCACTGAGAAAAACCATAAGATATGAGACTCAAAGTGAAAGAGAAACCTCAGGTGAAAATTGAGAGGATTCAATACTTACAAGTCCTCGCACTACAAGCTTTTCTCCTGAAGATTTTTACACTCAATATGGAATTGAAAATATCCAGTGTGAAATTGAATGTGACCATGGTCCAGATTGAATTTTAAACTAGACCATTTTTTAAACTTCAGGATTTTGAGAAGATAGAGTGTAAAATTATATTTACCCCCATGCAAGATAAAATTTTACACTCCATTTACACCCAATAAGGAGTGTAAATCTTGGAGTGTAAAAATCTAAAGTGTTTCTTCTTGACTTGTAATCAAGTTCAGCCTGCAATGCTTTACGCACATCACATCAAGATTTTGTGATGCCGATGAGATGTGCCTCTGAGCACCTCAAAAAAACTAATGTGATGTGCGCAATCACACATCACATTGCATTGGCCCATTGTTGCTCTGGATAATCCACAACCATTGCTTCACATGCTGAGCTCTCTGGCACATTATCAACCTTAGCTTCATTGCTTCCTTGATGCTCTGTTTTGTTGTTGTCTTCAATGCAAACAACATTTTGAGATATGTTTTCAAAAAAACCTGATTGACCTTGACTCCAAAGGTCCATGAGGGTGTGTGTTGAAGCAGGTTGAATTCTCTTCACAGCCCCCATCTCCTAGGCTTTGACAGGATGTAGACTACCACTGAATTCAAGAGGACTTCATGCAAACTTCAATACTATAACATTTAACAGCAAAGACGGTTTGCTTACAAAACTTGAAAAATACACCACTAGTGTGGTTTCCTGAGTTTTGTACATGAGCAGAAATCAAGGCTGCCACAGATGCAATACTGGTATTGTACCGGCAGTACCAGTACCGTATCCGTGGTCAAGATACCTATATTCTGGGTATCTGATATTGTACCTGGGCTCTGGTACAATACCAAGAACCGTACCAAAGCCCACAATACATACTATATTTTCTTGTAGGGGGTGCTGTATCTTCCCACACAAGAAGATACGGTACTATACCGTATCAACAATATGGTACTGTACTGATGTGTTTTGATTGCCATGGCTATAGTTCTATGCCAAGATCAAAACTAATGGAGAAAAAGATGATGCATTGGGTGACAGAATTACAAGTCTGTCCAGATCTGAAGACGTGGGCCAGAGGGCTACCACTTCTGCTTTGCAGTACTGGAGAACCTGGGTATCTGGTCACGTACCAGGATGCAATTATGGTACACAATACCACACCTGGGCCTCTGCAGGGGTCCATGGTGCTGTACCCCTCTAGCCGGTTACAATAACCTGAGTACAATACTCAGCCATTGAGGTACAGTACGGTTCAGTACCGGTACTGGCACCTTATCTGTGGCGGCCTTGCAGAAATCCACATGCTTGACATACTGAAGATAGATCAGATACTAACATCACACTCATCTTTACAGCAAAACATTACTTTGCACTTTGATCTCATAAATATTTCTCCAGGAAATCATAGGACAATTACGGTACTCAAAGTTGTGTATACTTTGCTGTAGGTAGTTTCTTTTTCTTTTTCACGACTACACATGACCAGGAAAAACTATGTTTCTGGATCAGAAGTACATATTTTTGAGCTTCAAACAAAAGACATACTTTTTCCGGGTTGTGTCTAGCTTCAAAAAAACAAAAAAAAACTATACATGGCAAAGTATACACAACTTTGAGTACTGCTAGTGCAATTCATCATAGTTGATCATCAGCACATATGATGTGGCTACAGATTTCAGATGAATTCTATCCTTGTTCAGAAAAAGCACCACCATCTGATACTGAGGTAAGTAAATAGTATCTCTTGCATTCTTGAATATCTGTTTGTTGAAGATTGTTTGAAAACATCAATCAAGCTATATTGGAAAAGAAAATGACAAACTTCATCAAAAGCTTCAGTGTTAGTGTTCAACATTAATTGAGAGGAGGTAAGAATCATTTTGTCAGTTGTTTAGTGTATGCTCTCAAGTGTGTTATGTTATTCTTGTTTTGGTGTTGCATAGTGCACTCTTGTTGTGTCTGCAAATCTCAAAGATTGCCATTTCATTTTTATCATTTGATATGTAGCTTGGATACTGTTTTCTCTCATCACTACAACTCACAATTTTTTTCTTAACTCAAGCTATTATTTGTTTCCTTTTTTCAATAAATATTTACCTATGAGTCTAAAGAGTTTGTTTCCTCATCTATCAAACTCTTTTTATCACACTAAGCAATTCTCTAACTTACACCGTATCTTGCTTTGTGTGGATGACTCATACATTTTCCATCTACTAATGATTTCTGCAAGTTAGCACTATCCTAATTGAGCAACTGATGCTTATCACCTTTTTTGGCTGGCCTCTGATTCACCCAAAATTACAAAAAATGAGCACAACCAGCTGTCCTCATGTGTCAGTATACTCCGGGAGCACCAAGCAACATTTTTATTTAGCTACACACAACTCACATTATTCCTTTCATGGACCATCCAATTTCCCACTTGTCTGGCCAACAACACATAATACCACGCATAACTGGGAAAATACCAACCAATAAAGATTTTAAGTGATTGGCTTCTTGGTGTACCTTTCTTCAAGTTTTAATCATTGCGGTAAATGTCCCATGCTAATCAAATTTGATACTCCCTTTAAACTTTAGATCACCAGACCAGTCTTGTTTTCAGATCTTGAAGTCAAAATTTTCAAAATAAACAATCAAACCTCAAGATATCTGTACCTCTATCTGGAAATCTGTTGATGTGTTGCAATTGAGACTTAACAGACAAAAAGACAGGAATGGTTGGATACATGATAATCCTGCAATTATAGAATGATAAGATAAGTTCTGATCCCATACTGATAAGACAAGATAAAATGCACCTTATTCCACAAACCTTTGTACACAGACCAGACACAATCATCACTGCAAACATTAGTGGTGTACAAACCTACAACCCAACATGAAAACCCATAAAAAAACCCATGAAAACCCAACCTCTTTATGGGTTTGTTTGACGGGGTTTTTTCATGAGTTGCCCTGGAAAGGTATGGAAACCCCAACTCCTAAAACATGTCTAGAGTCACAGGCAACACACAGCTCTTGTCATCACTTGAGGCCTTAACTTTACTCTCTTTTTGCATCCACCTCAACCATTGCACTTTTTGTATTGATAATGGTTTTTCTTGATTTGAATCTCACACTACTTCAAGGGAATTTTAGTTTTGAAAGTCTCATCTCTTTCTGTTTGAAATCAAACAATATCTTGTGCTTTTTTGAAATAAAACAATCTCATTTGAATTTGACTGAAAACAATATCTTTGCTTTAGAAGTATCATCTCAAAGTCTTAGAAGTCAACTGAGACAGTTTCTTTTTGAAATGAAATGATTTTTTTTTATTGAAAACAATGTCTTAGTTTCAAAAGTCTCATGTCAAAGTTTTGAAAGGCAACTCAGCTCAGTTTTTCTTTGAAGTAGAACAATCAATTGTGTGATTGTTTGAAATAAAACAATTGCTTTTGAATTCTTCATATTGCAAAGGTCAAAACAAACCAAAAAGAGAGAAACTTTGAAATCAGCATTCATCAGGTAGACAAGCAGCATATATTTGTTTTGTGGAAGGATTTAGGTTATTTGGGTGTGTTGTGTTGGCAAGGAAGGGGTGGGGTTGGTTGAGTCTACATATAACCAACACAACTATCTTTTTGAACAAACGGGTGGTGAGGTCTAGACATTTTAAACCCATGTGAAAACACCCATGAAAAAAACCCATGAAAAAAATTGGGGTTTCATGTTTTTTTGTGGGTTTTCATGTTGGGTTGTAGGTTTGTACACCACTACAATTCAACTTCCCCAAGTGGGCAGGAAAAAATGATTGGGAGTATGATTTTTCATAAAATAATCTATCACTCCACACCTGGGCCATAACACCCACACTAAATATGTGTAGCAGGCTCAGCGAATAGGTGGTCATGATGTACATACAGTTCTGCTCATTCATCTGCTCATCATGATAAGTTATGCATATGTAGTACATGCTGTAACTTCTTTTGTTAAAAGACAATCAAGACTGTAGTTTCGAAATGTAGTTTGGTTAGATGCAAAGTGCTTTAGATATGTTTTTCATTCTCAGATTACTTTTTTATTTCTCAACAAGTTTGATGAACATCAATCCCAATATGTTTTCTCAATAATTCTCTCTTATATGTAGTTGACTGTGTTTCTCGACTTTGTCTCTCTTTCCTTATCTGTTGGAAAGAGAGTAAGTCTTTCACTTGAATTTTTGTATTTCATCATAATACTGACATCATTCGATGTAGAACTTCCTTTAGATCAACTCTTATAAACTCTCAAGTTTACTTATTTGTTTCTCATTTTATCTTTACCTCCCAAACCTTTAGGTATAAATTCATCTCGTTTTTCTGTTACGTTTCATTAGTCTAACTTGTCTTTCTTTTCATTATCTCTATCTTTATCTATTCTAGGTTAGCAAAGTTCTGCATACCTGAGCTTGTTGGAGAAGAGTGCTAATACGCTGCACTACATTTATAGGTTAGTTGATTAGTAATAAATAATATGATATCTGTTGGAAAGAGAAACTTCCTTTAG